CTTATACTCAGGACCTCAAACCACTAAGTCACAATGTCGGGAACAGAGAGAAGATGCGGTATTGCATGTTGACAGCTGACGGTCCACTGCTGTTTTTCCAGTGGAAAGGGTTTCTAAGCCAGAAGAATTTTGTATCTACACTGAATGTCCCCGTCTTCTTCTCGTTTAACTCCAAGACTGTACGGAATGGAAAATGAATGTATACTGAACAAAGTTTAAATACTCTGCTGAACTAGGGTAAACTGGTTTCATTAGTCAGGCACAGGCACAATTGCACGGCAACCCTCTGTACCCCTGTCATTTCCCTTTAACTCGGGGGTCCCCAGCCCTGGGCCTGGGGACTCGTCAACCCCGTGAGACCCCCTCACCCCCTGGGTTCCTTTCTGCTCCAGCCCGTTGCTTGATTTGATCCTTAATTGAACTAAAAAGTTGTCCGAGTAGAGCTTGGGGAAGCTCTTGAGTTACTTACGAACCACAGCAGTGACACAGCAGCCCTCAACGTGTTTAAGAACTCCGCCCAATCGAAGAGTGCGCGTGAGTGCTATAGTTGGGTCAGTTAAGGACTCAATTAGTGTTGGTGACTGCAAGCTCCGCTGGACTGAAAGGCAGCACGTACGGGGGTCTGCAGGACCAGAGAGGGGAACCCCTGGGTTAACTGGTGCACGAGCTGAAGACATTTGAATAGCAGAAGCAACAGGCACTGCGACAAGCTTAATGTTGACCCACCTACTGGCGACAAACCACAAGGCCAAACTTTGGGGGGTTTTCCTGGGGTTAAAAACAGGAACAAAAGAAACGTCTCATCACGCTGTGGGTTTGGAACGTTTGGGTCAAAGTGTTGATCTAATCCTCCGCCCTATCTGCGCGCAGGTACGATTGAGCTCGACCCTCACGGCCCCTTATGCCAATTCAGCCGTCTCCGAAACGGCTGTCAAACAGCGCTAGAGCTGATCGCGCAGTGGCGCCCGGGCTCAAATCGGACGTCTGAGATTTTCTTCCAACACCTGATTTTCTTTAAAGATTGTAACAAAAACAGCACATGAGCGAGTCCAAAAGGTGCGCATGTCCAGGCTGGCCAATTAAGCGGAAATTGCAGAGATATCAGCTTAATGCAAGCGTGACTATAAATAGTTTGTGGTGAGTAATGTCAGCGTGAGCAGACTTCTTACATAGTTGATTGAAGGTGGTGAAGAAAGGGTGGACATGAACAGTAAGACTCGATGCTTTTTTGTGAGCCCAAAAGGCATTATAGTAAAACCAGTTTTACAGCCCTGGGTCCTCTTGCACAACGGTGTAACAGAGCTTTCCAGCATTTTTAGGGTTGAATCATTCTCAGGCAAAAGTGGAAGCAGTTTCACTCTTCAGACACACCTCTCCATGGGACCATTCACAGCACAAACACCCAAGACGCTCGATGCCGCAGGTGGATCTATTGCTATACTATGATTTCCAGAACCAGTGCCTGCAAAGATGCTTTGTTGCTCTTCTTATATTCCCTTGCGTACGGAATCTGAACTCCAGAAGTAGGGATTGAACAAAAACTGAAATAAAGCGGTCTAAAGGATCGTACTCTCAGTGCTAGCAGTGCATCCCAACACCCTGCGTTAGTCTACAGAATAGGGACATGGTGTTTCTTGAATGTCAGACAGGGAGAGCACTGACCACGTGACACAGAAAAAGTTGGAGGCTGGTTTGGCCAACTCTCCTATCAGAAATAAAGACCACAAGGCCCCACAGGAACCACGTGACTAGCACCTCACAGCTGTGGCACAGCAGCTCTGCCTCCTCCATGCTGCTGCACAAACGCTCTCTGGACTTGCACACGAAGAGAGCAAGCTGTGGCCGCTCACTGTGGAACCCGAGCCCTGCATGCTTTCAGGCGGCAGCGGTTCGTGTTCACTCTGGCTCACCATCTGTACTGTAGATGGCACGCAGAAGGTCCTAAAATTAAAAAAAAGGGGAAATCTGACGTTGGAGCAGACGTGGTGATACAGCTACTGTATGGTCTCAGTCACGGGGCAGCTGCAGTCTCTGTTTTTCCCCTCGTAGGGACTAATGACGTGTGACTCACGCCTGCAACAGCAGCGATTCCCACAGACAGCCTAGGCTGCAATCACAGCCACTGGCAGGCCGGGCAGGGTGGGACCGAGGTGCCCCGCTCATCGATCACAGGACGGGCAGCGTGGGATGGAAGTGGTGTTTCACCACTCTGCGCTCGTCCACAGCCTCTCAAAGACACACGCAGCTGAGCGCAGAGTCCCACAAGGCAGAGACCACCACCAGCACCGCCTGAGCCAGAGACAACCAGGGCGCAGCAGGTGGGACAGTGTTCGTAGGCGGTCACCAACCTGACCGTCCACAAAGAATCTGCACGCTGGCCAAAGCAGCAACAATGTCCACTCAGTGTCCGGGAGGGCAGGGTCCAGTCAGGCCAAAGACCTGCTGCAGCAGAGAGCCGTCAAGAGAGATGCAGGGCTCCCCCAGCTCGGTTTCTGAGCCGAGGCGTGCTGGAGAAGCAGAGGGTCTCCTGTTGTGGTCAGATGAGGTGCAGATCTGCTGCTCTGAGCAACAGCGGTCAATTCAAGCCCAGCCGGGCTGCCAGCGAGAGATCAGCCGGGGGGTTCCCCCGGTTTTCACCAAGCAGACAGGCAGCCGGCTAGGCGCCAAGCCCTGCATCCGAGAGCAGGGCCTGACGCAGATGAGCACACGCAGGACAGCAATAAATACCACAGGTTGGGAAGAGCCGAGGCGAAATCATGTGTCCAGTACGTCTGGCTGGATATGTGGGGGGGGGGCTTGTTTTAACACCACACTGCTAAAACCATGAAGTGACGAACACAGCTAGTTCTTCATCTACAATTAAAAACGCTTTTAAGCACAAGAGGTCGCAAACCCTTCCTGCCACGGAGACTCGCAACCTCAGCTCATTTCTTTTCACTTTTGCTTTCAACGTGAAATTCCCCTTCGACTCAGGCCTCGTACTCTCTCCTGCCTGGTGGGCGAGGGCTGGCCAGCTCCCGGGAGACGGCTCGTCTCCGGGGCGAACCAGCTCAGGCTCAACAGCAGGATTTGTATCAATTAGTTCTGCTCGGCGCTAATTTAATCACCCATTCAGGGCAGCGAGACCCCCCTGGCTGAGAGGGAAGTGGGGGGGGGAGGAGGGAGGAGGTCAGGGCCGTCAGCGATCTGCGATGGAAATGCAGAGGCTCATACAGTAACAGCACAAGGCTGCCTCCCCCCCCCCCAGCCCCATGTGCGGGGCTCTCGACATGACCAAGCATGTAACAGGCTACCATGTCCAATTCGCATCGCTTCCAGTCGCCCGGGTCATTTCCATGGTGACGCCGCGGCGCTGCTCTGGCGCTCCGCCGCCCAGCCCTGCCTCAGCGCTGCGCGGATCACCCCGGTGCTTTGCCCGCAGCGCAGAGCCGGCCGCAGGCGAGCCGCGGCGGTGCGCTATTTCAAGCGCTTCTCTGCCTGCCGTCCACGCGTGCGGCATTGTTTGCCAGCACCGTCCCGAAATAAACCGAAGACGCGTTGTTGTTTTGTTTTGTTTTCTTGGTTGGTTGGTTTCCCACCAGCTTGGAGAAACGACGTCTGGCACCTTTTCACAGCGGCCACTGCGCTCCTTTTGTCTTTTCAGATCTGCGTGGCTGTTGCTGGCGGTCGTTCAACAGAGCAGCTTAGCACGATTCGTCGAAAAACACACCAGCCAGCCAGCGCTCCGCTCCGATTAGACCGAGCCGAGGGCGCCTCGCAGTTGCAAAGCCACAAACGGCATTTAAGGCAACAGTGCTGTGTTCACCTACAGTACCTGGCCCGTCCACAGGAACTCGGGTTTTTTTTTTGCCCGGTTCTCTTTGTGGTGTCCAGGCGAAGGCAAGGGACACAAACGAAACTTAGAAAATCAGCAGCACGTAAAAAAGGGGACAAATCCGTTATTGCCCGTGCCTGCCTGAGTCGAGACAGAAATAAACGCCAATCCAGCCTTTAATGGGCTGTTGTTGCACGTCCACGCTCTAGCTGGGAGCGATTCTCGGGCGGGCGGGGAACCGGCGGACCCTCTCGCACCTGCAGCCGAAACGCTGCCCGGCGGCGGCAGGTGAGTCCGTCTCCCCGAGAAGCTCCAGCCCTGAAGTGAACCCGCGGGACCCAGAAACACACACACACACAAAAAGTATCGGAACGGGCGCGTTGTGTTTGGCAGCTGTGTTAGAACAGTTACAGAAGTGCGTTGTTGTTGTTGTTGTTGTTTTTTAATATGTATATATACACACCGCCTGTGTCCGCACCGGCTTACGGTAGCTGCTTGCAGGGCGAGCTGACGCGACCCCGCAGAGAGACCGGTACCGGCGCGCAGGACGCAGAGGCGATCTCGGCGGTCCCTGAACAGAACAGGGGTCAGCGGCGAGAGGTGGGGGGGGTTGTTTAAGACAATGCGCTCGACTCCGCGCTGCAAGGCGCTACGATGCGTTTTGGAAAGAGCACAGCACAGCACAGCACGGCGCAGGGTCTGAATGAGTAACCCGGCGAGCTGACGTTCGGCGCAGTCCCCCCCCGCCCCCTCCCCTGCGCTCTCCCCGGCTCGGACGCGGTCTGGACAAAGGGGCTCCCGCTGCAGGGCGCACCGGGCGGAGCGGAGCGGAAAGGTATGCGGACGAAGGCAGGTATCTAGAGCCGGGGCTGGGAGAGTTACAAACAGGGGGAGGGAAAGACAATAACAAAAGAGAGCGAGAGAATGTCACAGGAGCCATTCATACGCGCTGTTTTAACCCCGTCCCCCCGCCGGCTCAGCCGAGACTCATCTGCACAAGCTACCTGGTTACACACACACACACACCCGGGACTCCACAAGCCCGTAGCGTCCCGCTGCGGTTCCTGCGGCTTGGACTCGGAACACAAAAGGCAACTTCGTCTAAATCTGCAGCTCTCGCCCGCGCCTCACTGCCCCGGTCTCCCCGACACAAGGCTGGGGGGGTACTGACACCTCGGAACGGTACCTCCTCGATGCTGTTCACGGCGTTTCTGCAACTTGACATCTTCGTGGTGAAGGCTGAGGTGGTTGGCGAGCTGTAATCCTCCAAGGTCTCGGCGATGAACTCGTCGACCGAAATAAACTCCGGCATTTTTGGGATTTTTAAAAAAAAAAAACCCGAGCTGCTCCTGCGACGCCGGTGTGAAAAGTTACAGCGGGGGGGTGGGGTGGGGTGTAGGGGAGAACAAAAAATAAATAAAAAAAATATCCGACAAATGAATATCAGCCTGAAGTGCAGGAACGCGCGCTTACTCCCCTCGGCAGCCCATCTCGTTGAATTAAATGGAAAAAGAGGAACTGGCGGCCGAACACGAGCACCTCGTGAACGCGCTGGCACAGGGGTGGCGCGCTTCAGCGCGGACGCGCCGCCGATAGTACGGTCTGATTTTCAACTTGGTTGCGTTTTCCGGATGGGGGCCTTATGAAGATTACAGTACACACGCAGCGTTTGGAGCCCCACGAGCAGTTGGTACATTTTGCTGCGTGGGAAAACGTTTATATTTCATAACACAGACGGGCGGAGGAGTGACAAAGAGCTGAGAATTAAATAAGAGCTTTACCTTCCGTTCTGGAGTAAGTGAATTAATGCAAAATTATTCTCCAGCATTTTCACACCTCCCGTTAAAAAAAAACTCTCAGATACATTTAAGAATTAACATGCATTCCCTAAAACGGTGGAGAATTGTATAATGTATTATGCGAGTTCTGTTTTGGGCTTCTAAGCGTGAACTCCGCTCCCTTAACAGTCTATTAAGATGAGCAAATGAAATGTCACTACATACAGATCGCACGTTTAAAAAATTAGAAAAATCGTGCACTTCTGATTTGAAGCATTGGCGTTTCCAATCTCTTACAGTGTTGCTAGCTTATTAAGTTTAACAAGTATTAACTATACTCATTTGGCATCTACGTCTGAGTTTATCGCATCCCGATTGATCCTCCAGAGAGGTAATTAAAATCCCTTAATGAGCTTCTCTCAAAAGTCAAATTTGAATCCAAAATTAATCTAAAAGTCACGCGGAGTTCTGATTTCCGATATCTGCTTAATTCTGCAAAACCTTAATAGTGCTTGTGGGGATTCATGACTTCGTGTAGGCTGCGTAGAAGAGGTTACATTAGCAAATTAAGTGAAATTTTTACTGATAATATTTTTCATGCCCGAGACTGCGTGTTATTGTGACTGGGCGTCATTTTGTTTAGCAGTGCTGTGCGGTTAATAGCGCAGTTAACTCGTAGTCCGAGTGCTGGTGTGTTTTCATGATCTCGGCAAGGGCGGTGAATTGTACTGCCGACAGACAGTTTTGCATTGTGCGTGCTTGCCTTTGTGCTGAAGGGCTGGTGTGTGTACATGTTGGTTTTGTCCCCCAGACCCAAGGAGAAAATGAAGCAGAGACAGTCTGGCCACCCTCCGCAGTTCCCCCCTTCATCCTCTCTTGTGTGTCAAAGATGATTTGGGGGAAAATCCCATACCGGTGAATGAGGAAACTCAGAGCCCAGCCTCTGTGTCCAGTGAAAGGTCAGAGTGCTCTCTATCGATCATCACAAAGCCCGGCAGAGCAGTAACTAATTAGCTCACTACCCACATGTAGAGGTGTTCAGTCACCGCGGAAACACCGTCCTGACCTGGAGAAGTCTTCTACAGGCAGTTCCACTTGAAGGGCAAACAACTGCACAGGCCCTTTCCTACGGCAGTGGAAACGTCCCTATCTTCTTTCTCACAGTAGCTGCTCAGGGAAAGGCAATCAAGAAAGAAACCCTGCGCTTTGGCAATTAAGGAACTTTGTTTCTTATTCTAGGCTGTTTTTCATTTTTCTAGGACTGAGCTTGGCTTTGAACCACTGAATTATATAGGCCATGGAACGGGATGCTTGGATAGGGAGCCATTATGATCCTGGGAAAAGTCATTATTTGTAAGTTTCAGAACCGACAGCTGTGATGGATTTGCATCTGCAGGTATCGGAGTGGTGCAGTGGTTAGCACTGCAGTCCAAAGGCATACTGGGAGGTTAATTAGCTTCTGGGAAAAGTGGCCCTGGTGTGTGTGACCCGTGATGGACTGGCATCCCATCCAGGGTGTACCCCATCTTGCACCCGTTGCTTGCTGGGATAGGCTCCGGCTCACTCCCCCCCCCCCCCCACACCCCTGGATGGAGTCATGCCCTTAAATTCCTGAAGGGGGCAGTGGTCAGAGTGTCGCTTGCCCCAGAACATTCGGTGCACGTGCTGAATCAGCAGGCAGGCAGCACACAGCAGATACACTGACAAAAGCAGGGTTTTGTGAGCTGTCACAGCTGCCATCCCCAGAGTCAGGGTCCTGAGAACCGTCTGAACGGAAAAACAGTTGTGTGTCATGGTGTTGTAATCAACACAGGCCCTTTTAAGGAACATGGGAAAGGTAACCGACAAGAAGAGGCTTCTGGTAGTTAGTAGCTAAATTGATCTGAGCTGCTTCTCAGAAGCTGTTTCTTAAAAGAAACCAGGGTAACAATGGCATAGCTGGATTGCTTGTTCCACTCTCCCACAACCATTTGTGTAAAGAAGTGCCTCCCGTTTTCAGTTTAAATGGGCTTCCACATGTTTTCCTCGTGGGGCCTGGCCGTGCGCTGATGTGGCCCACCTCCGGTCCTGGAGGGCGGGGTGTCCACGGGCACCATTTAACACCCCAGCATCTGAAAAACTGGGGGAACCGGTCCCATTAAGGCAATAATGGGCCAGTTGAGGTAATCAAGAATTGAATTGGCGTAAAGACCGGGTGACGTGTCTGCCATTCAAGAGCGGATGGAATAGGAATTCACACGCCTGGGACTGGGATCAGCAAGTATCCCTGATGTTTGGGATCTGCTTACTGACCAGGAGCCTCTTGTTCGTTCACAAAGATCTCCCCATTACAAGAGGCACAGCTGGGGACACCTGTATTCCTGTACCATGAATCATTGCTACATGGAGCTGATAGTATGTTCACTGTTCCTTAGTGAACGGTTCAGGAAGGCTTTACTTTGTGTGCTGTTGAGGTTCCTGCCACATCTTGCACAGCGAGAGCGTCTCTGCAGCAGCTGCGCACACAGCCATGACGCTGCTCAACGGGAGCGATCAAGAAGGCCCAGAAAGTCTTCTGCAAGGGGCTTCCTTTTTAGAACATGCCGTTTATAAAAGTACTTGCCGTGAATTCCCTTTTTTTCTACATTGCAAAACACTCTTATCTTGCAGCAGTGGCTCGAGAGGAAGTTCTGTTGAAATCGGACTTCCCTACTCCCCCCGGTCTCTTCTCTAGCTGCTGTTGGGAGGCCTCGGACTAGTGCCGCTTGTGTTTGTAAGATGTTATTAGTTACTGCATCCGCAGTGATGATAAGTTTACCGGACACAACAAGAACCGTGGTCGGTTGTCAAGAGGCAGCTTGAGCGAAGCTTCAGACAGCCTGTGGAATTAGTGTCAAGGAAGCTGAAGACAGATCTTTACAGGCTTGGAAAACGTGCAGGAAGTATGTAACTCCCACTGGTAGCAGCTTTACAGAATGCGCAAATGCAGTATGTCTTCCATTAGCTCTGTTGCTGATAGCTGGAATCAAGGCCAGGAAGTCATTTGAGCTGGACGGGCCAATTGGGCTCCTCAGTTTTGAATGGACTCCGCCTCACTGTTAAACCTTTTTTCGTACCCTGATGATGTTGGGGTCGACATGGTGGAGTGGTGGCTAGTGTTTCTGTCGCACTGCTCTTGAGTCCTGGGTTCGACTCTGGGTCCTGGAGCTGGGGAGCCTTCTGTGTGGAGTTTGCATGTTCTCCCTGTGTCCTCCCACCTCCCAAACACGTGCTGGCTCTGTTCCTAGCAAGGGTGCATTCCCACCTTATGCCCTATAGTCTCCGGGCTGCCATGATCCTGGCCAGGGATAACTGGCTTTCCAGTGAGTGACAGCTGGACATGAGGTGCATGAATACAGACAGGGGTGGAGAGAAGCACAGGATCTCCGGGAATGTTCCATGTGCTTCCCAACTCCAAGCATTTTTATTTTCAGGAGTGGAACCTGAAACATCTAAAGGGCGGCTAGGCGGTGCAGCTGGGTAGCCGGAGAAGACAGGGGTGGGACTCGTCTCTGCAGAGGCGTGTTTCAGAGGGGCTGCCTGTGAGCCCGGAGCACATTGGGTGGCAGTCAGGATTCGGAGGCTGTGCCCGGGGCTAAGTGTCGTCAGAAAGGGAGGGTGTTCAGATTCACTGGAGCAGGAGAGCAAGGTGGCGCTGGGAGGAGGGGGTGTAGGCTGGCATCGGGACTGCCTGGAGTGGTTGAATTTAGGATCTGAGGGTTTCTCCAGGGAAAGATGTTTAGGGATATGTGGGGCGATGACATCTGTGCCAGAAACACTTAGGTACAAGTCTCTAGCTGCAGTAGCAAAAAGAAATTGCCTCTGTGCAGAGACATGACCTTTTAGAAAACAAAAAACGAAGTAGAAAAAATGCCTCGTTCTATATAATAACAATGACCTTTAAAATAAATACATATATACACACAGAGGAAATTGTTTCAGAATTTGAAAATACTGGATCTAGGCTTCTCAGAATCATAGATCAAAACGAGAGCTGTCTAAGCGAACAGATTTGTATCTATAATTTAGTCAAGCAAATCCGCATGAAGCGATGTCGGAGGCCAGCTGCAGTAGCTGCAAAAGAACACGAGAGGGGGCCCCGAAAAATCTCTTCACGAGGCGTGTGGTGTGGAGAGGGAGTACGAATTTGGGCCACAGAAATTAAGCAGAAGATAATTCCTTATTTTAAATGCGTGTGCACTCGTCTGTAGGTAGGTCTCGGACAGTAATCAACATTAAAGTTAAACTATTTTTTGATTATTTTTTAAAAGACTAATTTTAAAAAATGATGGAAGAAACGGTTCAGCTGTTGAGCCTTCCTCAGGAGTGACGATAGTTGCACGCCCTAAATGCGGTTTCTTGTTTCTGCTTTTCCTTTATTGTTTTCATGTTGAGAGAGTGTTTTGTTCTTTATTATTATTTAATACAATTACACAAGATTTATCAACATATCCTGAGGGGAGCTGCATCCTAAAGATAAGCGCTTACACCCAATAAACATTACACATTAAAGGATCATCCATTATATGTCACTGATCGGACAGTGTGAACACATGTGAATGTGGAAAATGGTTTAAATGTTTGCATAAATTAAAGCATTTGCTTAAGGTATTCCTGAGGTCGATCAATGGAATCCCGTGAAAAAGACATCATGGGTCATTGTCTGCCAATATGCTTTTCACCTTCATGTCTCAGTTCTTAAAAAAAAAATTATAAAAGCTAAAAGTGAAACTCCTACTGCAGGACTCAGGAGTCGAGCTCTGCATTTATTAAAAGCCCAGCTGACTGGCACTTTCATTACACATGATCTGGAAACTATTAAATGCGTGACAGGGATCAGCTGTCCAGTTCCCACATGTGAATTCGCACAGAATTAATAGGTGTTTCCCTCCAGCCAATCAGGAGGGGTGACAGGCAGACATCAGAGTCCTGCTCTGGTTTGGACCCGAGTCTTGTAACATTAGAAAAGTGACATTTCCCGTGTCCCCTGCAGGTGGTGTTAATGGGAAAACTGCTCTAACTGGTGACAGAGCTGTCCAGGCGTGTGCAGCACTGTCCCCTCCTTTCCAGCTGTGCATCCTACAGCTCAGAGAACTGTTAACAATCAAGTGTCGCCATTAACAACTCTGAAATCACCTTTTCAATCTAATACTGTATATTAATAACAAAACTAAGAGCTACAGGGGTCCAGAGTACATGTTGAGAGAGAGGGGCTATTCCTTTTTTTAGAATGTATCGATTAAAAAATGGGGGTGTTTTTTCGAAAATGCTGTTGCAACAAGACCCTCTGCGGTAAGGAGGAGGGCACTGCGATTCACTACATGAGGCTGCAGCAGTGCAACAACCTGCTGAAAGGAAGGTAAAATGTGAACTGAACATTTACACACAAGACTGTTGGCACAGCTTCTGTAACCCCTCTGCGAGCTCCTGTCGCCAGGCAGGAAGCAGGGAAAGATCGAGCAGCTCTGGTGCGCCGAGGGGAGAAGGAGACCCTCGTCGGCACTGCTCTTCAAGGGTCACGCCCTGCCCTTCCCACCCTCGTCACACAACAGCCCCACTTCCTTCCTGCGGCAGTGGTCACCCTGGTCCTCTAGTCTCCCTCTCCTGCGCCCCGTGTGGGTGCAGATCCCTGGCCAGGATGGACACGTGTCCCCGGCGAGGGCGGGGCCTGATGCCTGGACCCGCTGTGACGCTGGATCACGCGGCAGGGTTCCAGCGACAACCCAGGTTCCCATGGAAACAAGAGCCAGCAGAAGCCAGGCTGGAGGATGCTGCATCCGAACGCAGTCTGCTGACCTCTCCAGCAATGTCATACCCTGTCATTTCCAGCCCTCGGCACAACGGGGATTTTCTAAAGGAATAAGCCGGTGGGAGGCTGAGGTCTGCCAGTCCGTTATCACGCGCCGATCTGCATGTTTCTAGACGCCCCAAGGTCGAGACGAACAGACCAGCAGATCCAGCACGCGTGACGTTTTGCTAGATGGGCAGATCTCTGGATTAACGACCCAGGTGCTTGTTTTTAAAGCATCCTGCAAACCGCCGTCTGGCTGAACACCGGATAAACGTATCCGCACGTGTGGAAGAGCGTCCCGATTTTCCAGCCCACAGGAAGACGCGGGGCGCGTGATCGCCGATAAAGCAAGATTGTTGATTCTTCCGCGCGAAGCCCAGTCCGCTGGCCCACACAAGCAAGGGAAGCAGCTCAAGCTTATTGGAATTACTAACCAGCCGTGTCTTAATGTGCTGCTCCGGAGAAGCACTGCCCTTGCCACGCAACAGCAGGCTCGTGCTCCCAGACGGGGCTCGATCAGGGTAACAGCCAGGCCCCGGTCCTCATTGCCGGCGTTGCCTGCGCAGTAGCAGGGTGTCACGGCCTCCTGAAGCCCAGGTGCCTTCCTGCAGTGCATCAGCTTCAAAGCAAAGCCTCCTGTTTTCATGGGAGGTCAGGGTTGTCAGGCAGGGCATGTTGACAGCCACAGCCCAGACTGGCTGGCTGTAACGACAGCAGGCTTCTTGTTTTCCTGTAGGTGGTGCGCATTCCCGAGCTGCGGCATGCCGGCCGGGGAACGGCTCAGAACTCCGAGGAAAGGAGCCGGGGAAGCGCTCCAATCCTGGAATTTTCCCACATGATCTGACATGCCTGTTCAAAACGGGAAATGATTCCTCTATGCTGGAGTATTCCGTGAGCGCTCTGCGGTCGGATGCAAGCCTGCAATTACATCTCGGAACACTTGCACGTTGTCGCCGTGTTTGCGTGCGAGATTTTTGGTGGGCTCTCCGGTTTTCTCCCACCTCCCAAAGAAAAGCATGTCAGGGGTGCCCGGCTGCTCACAAGTATTTCTGGGAGCTGAGGGGTTTGTCAGAACGGGCCGTGGTACTGTGGAGAAGCAGAACCAGGTGAACTCAATGGACCGACTGCCCTCCTGTTATCTGTGGCCTTACTGATGCACTGATGGGAGTAGTGTGCTGTCTGAATTGTCTGCTGAGAAATGATGCCTTAATGATAAAGTGCTCCTTTTCTTATGATTTAAAGAAGAGATTGTCCTAATAGGAGCAACAAATGTGCCAATTTTGTCTTCACAATTTCAGTTAATCTCTTTCTGTCTTTCCTTGCTGCATTAGTGTCACAACCATTGCAGCACTGAAAATGTCCACGAGCATTTATAATAGCAATATTATAAATAATAGCAAGCCATCAACAGCCGATCATACACTGTCTTTATTTAACAGCAATGAGTGTGGAAAACAGACAGGGTTGCAAAAGCGCAAGGCCACTTGATCACGGCAGTCGTCCAGTCCGCCTTTACAGCTCAGAGCACAGTCTAAAGGCAGCTCTCTGGGTCTGCTCACTCCAGCAGGACACAGCTGGTTCATATGGGTCTGTGCTGCAATTCTAATTTAAATCAGAAACATACTTTTTTCAAGGCAGAACGACCTTATTACTGTCAGACCTAATGTGTGAAAAGTAAACCACCCATCCTACAGTGCTGGAATCTCATTTATTTATATTTTCATTAAATGTCAACAAAGCGATAGGTTTATAATGATAAATGACACGCCTACACAAAACACAGACAGAAAAGAATTGATCTTGTGGCTACTGCATACGCTGCATTGGGACTGAGCTACAATAAAACGCCAGCATCTTGCACACAATGACCCGAAGGCCACTAGAGTAAGGCAAGGCAGAGAAAGAAAACGAAAATGAGAAATTTCAATCTGTCCCTGTTCACCGTTACACCATAAGGCAGCTCTTAAATGCCATCTGGATGCGTGCTTGTCAAACGAAGGCATCGAAGGACATTTAAAAGACATCCTTCATCACAGCAAAGGATTTCTTGGCTCTTTAGAACAGAGCCCCAGCACGATCGATAAGGTCATCATACATGATCGTATTCTCCAGAGTTAAAGAGACACTCGTCTGACAGGAGGCCATTGTTAACGGCAGGAAATTGGTGGATGTAAATTATTCTAGATTGACTGGCTTCTGTTGGAATAAATATTTTCAGCATTGCTAGGCTACAGTTCTCCAGGCTCAGACAAATTGATTCTGTGAACATAGTAAGTAGTCCGATTTACTTTTCTCTCAGCTTCATTGTGTGAATTTCTTTCAAGAATTCTATATTTTACCCCCATTTCTACCAGCCCATTATATATTTTTTTTGCCAGTAATGCTCTGAATGGACAACAGGGGTGTTCAGGTCGCCACGGTGACGACAGAGCGGTTTCAGGTGTTTGCTGATAATGCAGAGCAGCGCAGAGGGGCTGTCAAAGAGTCATTAATGATCTTTTTCTGCGCTCACGTACAGCGTCCTAGGCTTGGACATCCCTGTGTTTTTAAAAGAAACCAGTCCCTGGCACCTCCCAGAAAAGTACAGCTTTTTTGCCTAGTGTATGCATCAGCCTCTTATGCCTACGCTACCAAAGCCGTGAACCTTGCAGGGCCGTGCTGACAGAGGGGAGGAAGAAGAGTCTGGTTCTGCCCGTCTGTGCATTGTCAGCGGGCGCCCCCACCCCAAGGGCTCAGCCATTGACGATCAGCTGGCTGATTTGTCCAGGCAAGGTGTAGAGGATGAGGAACAGGAAGAGAGCCAGGATGACCAGGACAACGAGAGCAATGATGTACTTCTTGTACTTCTTCCAGATGAAGAAGATGAAGGTCTTCATCGGGTTAACGAACCAGTTGAAGGAGGTCTTGGGCCGACTGTAACAGAATGGGTAATGTCCGTTATTTTCATCGTCTTCACCGCAGAGGTGAGGAATATGATGAAGATGAAGAAAGAGATGCAATGATGATGGTTTAATGCTATTCTGATTCAACTAACACAGGAGGTTTGAGTCATAAGGGAACTTTGTGGGCATATCTCCTGTTTTGACAAAAGCAGCAAATATCATAAAATGTGAGGGTGCTGGATAATGGGACTGTTCTGTCAGTACAATGTGGGGGTGCTGGATTATGGGACTGTTCTGCCAGTACAATGCGGGGGTG